GATGTTCTTGAGCACTTCTTCCCAATAGAAACTCCGCACCTACCACACTGCCTCGAAAGTCCATCTCCCAGCATCGAGTCAACTCGAGAAATCTCATCCGAATGATGGCCAGCGACTTAGCAATAGCTCCTTCATTTTCGTGGACAAGTTCGAAGCACCGAGTCAGCGGGAAAAGCCGAAGAGTGAATCTATGAAAACTCTTTCCATATTCCCAGGGTTTAATGAAACACTCAACGGTGGCGTGACAGAAGTAGCGAAAGCAGAGGAAAGATCAGCGAACGCTGCTGTGGCGACCCCCAGTGAAGAATGGCCGGTTGCGATTCAGCCTGTCACTGGAGTACCGAGATCCTCGGTTGTCCGAGATGATACCAGCATTCCACTGAGTGCGATCTTGAAGCGGACGGTGGGAGCTGAGTCGTCCTCGGAGGACGAGCAGGATACAACTCTTGCCGCTACTAGAAGACTCAGTATTCGTTCGGCCAGCTCGAAGGCCTCCGGCTTGGACAAGCTCATCGGCAGTGTGGCCAACAGCAAGCCTATAGTAATCACTGAAGGTGATGATGAGTTCGACATATGACTCTCATACACCAAGCATGTGTGGCGATAGTCTTGTATACTGTAGGTCATGTGTAGTGTTGTTCGAAGGCGTTACTGGTAGCCAGTAACAGACAATGAGCTTCCTATAAGCATGTTTCGTTTATCGGCTCGACGATGCTTCCTTCACACTAGGCCTGTGGGACAGCCCCACATCAAGTTGCCGACTGCCGGCGAATTGCAGACTATCCGGACAGACTTGACCACTAAAGGGTGATTCAGTCATCATGTGGCTTAGGAGTGATGAACTCACTGTGGCGTCTTTGTTCAATACGTTAACGCTTCTCGCCCGACTTTCACCAAAACTAGTGGAAATATGATCGAGTCGGGCTGAAGCCTTTCCTCAATATCCGATGTTGACATCGTGGATACCACTATTCCGCTAACTCCTCACTAATCTCGCCTGGCATCAGTCAAGCGCGGATGGGGTCTTCCGTATACGATGGGATTTAATGAGCTCATATCTTTTCTGTGCTCAGTTATGCCACATTTGGTCAACTTCTTCGCCCACAGGAAGCTATTACCCTGGGCGATAAGTTCCCGGCTATATTCCGGGGCGAGTTCGATACTGGAGTGTGGGATGAGCATCTGGCCGTGTCCAGCATGATTGAACTCGTGGTCGTTTCAGATTTCCAGACGAATGGCATTGGCGCGAGGGCATCTCAAAGGAGTCCGCTCCTCGAGAGATCGTGAATGCCTGGAAGTCAGACGACTTGGTGGCAAGCATTGTCTTGAGCAAGGAGCTTGGGTCACTCGTCAGAGCAATCACGGGCTGGGAGTCCGTTAGAGTAGCCCAAGACGACTTGTGGTACGTTCGCACATCGTTCGATGTAGGACAGTAGTGGGTCAGGTGGAAAGCCCCTTCCACAGCCAACAGCGCCACCAAGGGCCACATTGACGCGGAATACTTCAACTTTTTTGCAGACAATTCTTTGCTAACTCTGTGGATCGCACTCGACCCCGTCGGGCAGGATAACTCGCCGTTACAATACATCGAGGGGAGTCACCAATGGTCGGTTGGGAATGACAGTGGAGAAATTTTCAAGAAGGGAAGTGAGGTATCTGGATCGATCCTCACCGGTGACGAAGATGTGTTCGCCAGTTGTCCATACAAGTAGCTTGAACACACTAACGGTTATCATAGTGCGTGTTCAGATATGATGGTTTAGTCCGCAGTGTGTCTGTGCCTAGAGGCGGCTGCTCTTTCCACCTTGGCAACACTTGGCACGGTAGTCCGCCTAATAAGGATGCCAAGATGCATCGACGATCCCTGGCCATTCACTACATACCTGGTAACAACTCCTTCGACCTCAATGTCAAGACCGGTTACATTTATGGCAAGTACAGGATGTCTGACCATGATAGCACGCTTTATGATTGCTTCTTCCCGCAAGTTGGGTAGTTGCAGGCTTGATGCCAACTTGAGTGGTTAGTGAGTACTTTGCACCCAGTCTGTTCTCTTTTGTTCAGCCCTGTTATATGTCATGATGATTGTCACATTTAACCATATACTTAGTCAGCTACATTCCTCACGCTGTGTTTGGATGTCTCCTGACCGTCGTTCGGTGAATAAAGGTGCTCAATGGAGGAGACAGCTATCACAACTAACTCAGCTAAACACAACAAGCTAGTAGATCCTCATGTACTATCACCATACCATCGGTTGTTGGAGTTCGATCTGGGTGTCATTTAAGGGAGGGTGGCTGGGTGTTGGTTAGTGAGAGTAACTCACGACTTGCTGTTCAGTTTTTTGTCCCATCTGTTTTGACATTATGGCATCTGACGACAAGACAGGGAATTGCTGTTGCCGATGCAAACCATGGGTCTTCTTCATTTTGTCAGCGGTGTCTGTTATCATCGCTGTTATATGTTTTGTTATAGCCATAGTCGCCATGGTGCCGTTCTATAATGCCTTTATTGATGGCATTAACTATGGTCGCTTTATCGATAACACATACCAAACCACTGACTGCGAGAATATGGTTGCTGGTGATGCTACCTGTGGCGGTAAGGCTTACGATGCTTGGCTTATGAGCTCTGATGAGCTGTACAATACTTGTATGAGTGATCAAGAGCCGTCATCGAGTGCTGTTGCACTTGATTCGGCGTGGTGTGATGCCAGCTCTGACGACTGTTCCAAGGACATGTGCCAGAAGGGTATGCAGTATGATTACTATGCGTACAACTTGACTAATCCTGAGGAGGTTTTGAAGGGTGCCAAGCCTATTGTGCAAGAGCTCACTCCTGTACACACGGCCATGAGCATCACTAAGACGAGTCCTCGGTTGATACTGACCTTTGGGATAAGGAAGTATAGCCCATGGCAGAGAGGACGAGTTTTTCTTCTTCAAGGACGATGAGAC